GCCGGTCCTGCCGGCAACATCCAACGCCGGCCCCACGAGAGCCGCCAGCAACCCAGCAAACCTGCCTGCCATGCCAGCACCGCTAACCAAAAAAAAGGACGGGGCAGATCCTATGTCCGATAAGGCATTTCTGGGAAGTGGTGGGAAACCCCTTGGGATGGAGAGAAGAGGAAGAGACAGGCAGAAGCGGCACAGCAGCACCGAGACGGGTACCACGAGCCACCCGGGGCAGACGACACCGGCGCCACAAACAGCGGGGAGGCAGGATCCTGCCCGGCCCTGCTCCCACAGCCAAAAAACCCAGGGGCTACACGACAGACAGGGACACGAAGGGCACACACCGACACAGCCGGGAGCGGCACCTCGTTCCCAGGTCCCTGCTGTAAGCGACAACAGAAACACAACAGCCCAGGAGTGCCTGCTCCTTAACACCGAGAGGCTGGGAGCCGGGTTTTCCTGGCCTGCAGGACAGGACGTTGAGATGGAAACACTGACAAGGTTTTATTGCGAGGGACAAGGAGGGGATTTACAAAGGGCTGTTTCCCCCAGGAGAGCCTGGAGTTGCGCCAGTTTTCCAGCTTCAGCCCCCAAGTAACTCTTCTACAGGAACCAGCTCAAGGTTAAGTGGTCTCCCCTTTGCAAAGGGGTTGGGTTTTTTTTTTGGTTTTTTTCTCTATTTTCTTCACTGTACCTGTTTTTCTTGCCCAAGGACCGGAGGGTATGACTACTGTGGAGAGCAGTGTGGTAGAGGAAAACCTTTTCCTTACGAGAGCATCGGTCCAGCTCTCATTTACAACGCAGCACAGCATCCCCCCTCTTGCTGCTTTCCCATTTCCTTCCCCCTCTCCCTTTTACCTTCACGTCCCTCCAAGTTGCACCAACACCTTAGGCCACAGAAGGAGAAATCTGAGTCAAGACAGCAGAAGCCACAGGTCAACCCAAGTCAACACAGAGCAACCTGCACACAAGGTGCCCGGAGACAACAGGGGAAGCATCCACAAAGCACCTTTCTTTGCAATAAAGCCAGGCTCCAGGGAGAAAAGCCTGGAGATTTAAACCAGCGTGCCTCTAAGCCTGTCCTACCCCCTTCAAGGAGGAGATGACACTCTTCTGCTCGCACAGCTCGGTCACCAGAGGTCAGCAACCAAACCTTTGCACAGAACAACCATGCAGAGGACAGGGCTGAGGGCAACTCCTGCATCTTCAGGCCACTGTGACCGGGGCAGGCTTTAGCAAACCCCGCAAGCCACGGGCTCTTCACAAGGCAGCAGGATGGGCAGGTGGAGGAACCTCAGCAAGGACGCAGCATCGGTGCATTCAGACTCCTGCTCTGTCACCAAAAAGCCGTGGCTGAACTCATCCGCCTCATTCCCGGTCTGTCAGTAAGGTGCAACCCATCCGGCATTGCAAAAATGCTGCCGGTGCCGGCGGAAGCCGCGGGGAACGGGCAAGCGCATGGGCTTGAGCACAGAGCCCCAGCGCACCCGGGCTGCGGTACGAGAGCAGAGCCACCTTCGTGCGGTTGGAGCTTCATGTCTCCCTTGGGTCTCAAGGGGGAGCCTCTCCGGTGCTGAAGACACCCCGCTTTCCTCTACAAGTCCCCACGCGTGCCACCGCTGCAGGGAGCCCGGCGCGAGAGCAACGCTTTACATCTGAGATCCCGAGCAGCTGTCAGAGCCGTGATACTTCAGCTGGAGTGGCGCAGGCGAAGAGCTCCCAAGGGATTTCTTCCCCGTGGGGAGCAGAAGGAGTTGGTTTTGAAGATGCGTGCGACTGCCGAGCTTCTCGGTTCCGCTATCAGCGTCGGAGAGCGCCAAGAAAAGCGCAGTGTGAATTGATGAAGCAGCTGGGGCACAGCAGATGCAGTGGAAACCCAAAGACTCGGGGATAGAAAAGTCCCTTTTCACGTTTCCCATCGCAACAGAGACATCAAGGCGTGGATGCTCCTGAAGAGCCCCTGTTCCAGCTCCCAGCAGAGCAGCATGCCAGCCAAAGATGAAGCACCTCATTAGACAAGCTGGGAGTCCTGCTGGCTGGATCCAAGCGACAGCCTTCCCGTGTAGGAAAGACAACGTTTACAAGCCCACGTAGTTGCCGTGCTTAAACACCTTCTTCCCAAGCGCAACCAGCGGCTCTGAGCTCTGTTGGGGCCCTACCCGCTGAGCCACACAACGCCGACAGCCGCCGGGCTGCACCCCGGGCACACATTGGCTCAGAGGAAGACCACAGGGACCCAACGGGACAACAACATGGGACTTCCCTGCAGTAATTCCTGCTTGAATGGTCAATAGCAGGCTTTTTCCATCTTGTATCCACCCAAACACAAATATTTGCACCATAGTTACATTCACGTAGGTACTTGGCTAATTGCAGCTTTAACTACGCCAATCCCAGTCCATCCCCCAGGTAGCTCTCTCGTGCCAAGCCCTGGACGCCGGCAAGCTCGACAATCCTGTCACCCTCCTGCCCATCGGCGTCTGTCTTCCACCGCCTGTTCCCACCGCCCAGACAACTTTGCTAATATTATTAAAGCTCAGCTTGTAAAAGGCTCTTGCTCTTTCCATTCTTTTTTCCTTCTAAGAAGATGCTTCTGTGGCATGTTGACAAAATTAGACAGATTTACGCAAGGGATTATGAGGAAATTGCCTGAAGCTCATTTCCACTAGTTCGCCGTAATTGGCCTTGTATTTATACACACAAATATAACAGCAAGCGCACTGAACCAATGCGTCACCATAAATACTGTCTGACCTCTGGCAAGGAAGAGATACAGGGGAGGACAAAATGATGCTACTCACCAGCCAAATTTTATCTGCTCTACCCACCCTTTACTTCTTCAAAGGACTCTGATTCTTTCAAATTAATTTTCATTATAAGCTCAGCCAAAAGCCTCCTCCTGCCCCCAGAGTTAGTATTTTGGGCAACTGTTCATGCACGAGAGGCATCTTGAACACCAACAGATGAGAGGTTCAGGGAGGCGGGTGAACTTCTAGCGACTTCAGTGTAGAGCCAAGCAAAGGAGCTTCAAGAAACACACGTGAATTTCTGCCACAAGCCTTCTGCGAGACGCCATAAACGCCCAACACAGCAGTTTTCCTTAAGTCTTCAAAGGGCAACCCTTCTGAACAAGCAAGGGTCTGAACTGCATGGACAGAGAGGCCACAAACATACCGAGGGACCTCAGAGAGGCCCAAGACTGGAGGAGGTAGCTAGGGGAGAAGAGCTATCCAATCCAACACACATCTCAGCTGCTCCTCTTCAAACGTCTTTCCACACATGAAGCAAAGATGTAAGGGTGAAGGCCCATTGAAAGCATCACTAACCTTTTCCCACCCAAAAGGGGGTACCCATGTAAAGAAAAGGACCGGGAGATTCAAGGGCACAATACACGTATTCCACCTCGTGGAGATCTCACAGCACGCGTACCCGGTGTCCTTCATTCCTTGAGTCAAGACAGCGACATCCAGGAACAGTTTGGACATGTTAGAGCATCCACTTGGACCAGAGCCCACTGTGTCCTTCAACACTTCATCCTACTCAGATGGAGAGCTCAATTCGCCTACACAAGGCTCCGTTTCAAGCTCAAGTCCTGTGTGATCCCATGAGATGTCCTGCAAGTTGGAATTCCCCCTCTGCTCCGAGGCAGTGCTGGCTGCTGCCTCCATCCCGGGATGCCACGGCGCATCACTTGAGATCCTTCAGCGCAAGAGGTGCTAGAGAAACACAGCGGTGACGGCCCCTTGTCCCAGAGCTGCTGCTGCCGAGGCACCGCAAGGAGGAAGGGGCTGGTCACAGCGGGGAGCACACCGGAGAAGGGGGTCCCTTCTACAGGTCTGCAGACACCACAACTCATCTACACAACGGACTTCACCATGCTGACAGGAGAGGAGCGGGGAGGAGAGAGGGCGAGGGAAAAGGGGCCGGACTGGAGAGGAAGAGGGGGATACAGTCACAGGAAAAGGGGGGGGGGAGAGAGGAAGATAAATGAAGAACAGGAGTGAGAAAATATATAAGTAAATTAAAGAGACTGAAAAGAAAAAAATAATAATAATAATTAAGAAAGGAAAGAAAAACGCACTCAGACAAGCGGACTCACAACTTCTCCAAGCGGGAGGAGGCATGAAACACATGCAGAGGATCAGCACATGGACAGTCTTTAAAGGGGAACCTGTTTGCTTTCAAGTGGGGAGCGAGGGGTGCTCCTCCTCCCGCACGCCTGGCGCCGACGTCCCTTCGTCACTCAACACTACGCCACGGCCAAGCCCCCGAGCTCCCGGCCTCGGCAGCGTTGTCCCGGCAAGCAGGGGGGGCCGGAACGGCCACCCGGGGCAAGCTGCAGTGCCGAGGGGCGCGGGGGCTTGGCGCCTTGTCTGTGGTTTTTGGGTTTCCCTCTGCAGGGAGACGACAGCCCCCTCTTCCCCATTAGGAGATGCATCACCGCGCATCGCATCCGAAGAGGAGAAGAAGATGGGAAAACTGCTTGGGCCAACTCAGCAACGGCATTTTTTTATCTCTGCTAATCAGTAAAACCTACCCACCCTTCCCTCGGCGAAAGCCACTCTGCGACAGCCGCCCCACGCCTGCTCCCAGCACCGGGGGCTTGGCTGCAGCCACCACCCAGCCCGCAAACTGCCTCTCCCTCTCCTCCTCTCAGCTTTTATTACTGCAGCACAGAAATCTGGCTGGTCTGGTGTAAAAATCCCTGTGCTCCGCACGCACCGACAATTTTATGACCCCAAATCATCAAGAAATTACTTGGCTGGGCTCTTTACGGGATTCCTCGCTTATTAAAGTGAGATTTATTCTTCTGGCTTTCCCTTTTTGGGGATAGTGACTCTGGAATCACTCCCGTGACTCCAACCCCTGGCAGTGTCTCGGAGTAGGACGCATGGCTGCTCCTCAGAAACTTCCTCCTGGGCAGTGTGACCCTGCTCCTGAAACCCTGTCAGCCCACGGCACCCAGCACCGGAGCCAGGAGCCAGGCAGGATATGTGCAAGAGCCACATGGAACTCAGACATGAGCTTGGACTCACCCCTGCTGCACTAAAGCCACGTTCACTCGTGTCCCTAACGATCCCGGAGCTGGGAAGCACCATGGAAAAAGAATAGAGAAAACAGCCATGTCCTCATTGAGGGCTTCCCCATTTCTTGAGAAGTCTGGCACAGCCCAGATCTCATCAAGGCCTGGTGCTAGGTCTGCTCCTCATGGGACAACCTGCACTGGGATCAGCAGGGGAAAACAGAAGAAGGTGGTGGCCAAGCGCTTAAGAGCTTGGAGGCTGCAAGGCTCAAACTGGAGGGGTTTTGCCATGCCAAGTGGATGGCTCCTCTATCTCATACCTGCTCCCATCACCATGACCTGACACTCCTTCCTCCCCTCTCCTGCTCTCCCTGCCCCAGGACAACCCTCTACCTCAGCTGGAAGAATTCCCCTCTTCTGGAACATCTACCTGATTTCTCTAGGCATTTCATCTCTTTCTCGTGAGGCACTTTTCCAGTCCAACAAAGCTCCTCAGGCCATTAGGAGAGCATCAGCCAGGACCTTGACTCTTCCCATCCAAGGCAGCAGAGCTTAAGTTTTTGTAAGACCTGTCCTAAGGAAGCTTGGGCATGACCAGGCCCTAGAAACGGTTCCATCTGCAATCCCACCTCTCCTTCCATAACCAGCCTGGCTGACAGCCAAATGGGTCAGCATTCTCACTCCTTGGGGTCAAGAATGACTACTATCCCATCTGTCTTTAGCAGTTTTAGTGACATTCTCTGCTTGTAAGGTCTGAAAACCATCTCCCAATTACTCTGTCCCAGTTCCAGGGATGCCCAGAGCCATCTAGGAAACCGGCCCCATGAAGGCAGCCCAAGAGGTATTTTCTTGGAAGGGTCTTTCAAGATCTGCTTAGGGCTGGGTCAGAAACAGTCTTAAAGATTTCTCCAAGGAGTATTTCAAAGAGGGAGATCTTTTACTATGACTACACTTGTGACAGGAATGATAAAACACCTCACTGGCAGTCTGAAGCTACAGTTACGCTGCTGCCAACCATGCAATCCATCTTGAAAGACAGACTTCTCCACCTTTCCGTAATTGAGAAGACTTGGGAAGAAGAAAACAGGTCCAGGCACTGATGGGAACAAAATTCTCCATGCCCTGGACCACAACTGGCGGCTGATTTTTGGAGCCCCGCTCCAAGAGCGCTGCATGCGGCTGGCTGCTCCAGAGGTGGCTGTTTTAACAGGCTCCAAGGGGGTAGACATGAGTTCCTCCTGGTTTGGACCAGCTGGGACAACCCCACCTCAACACCGCACAACCCTTGCGCCACGCAAGCCCTGCCAGGGCCGAGGGTGCCACGTGTCACCCTTCTCCAAGAAAGGAAGGGCGGCCATGGGGAGACAGCAGCTTGGCCCATCCCAAACCCCAACACGAAGACACGGCTGCCGCCACCAGGCTCTCCAGCCCCGCCGCCTCCCCGAAGGCAGGGGAGCAGCGGCGTGCTGCCGGGAGGGGAAACCCAAAAGCCACAGAGACTGTGCGTCCAGAGGTGTTTCCTAGTGTTTTCGGATTCCTTATTCCCCTTTAAAGGAAGAGATGGTATTGGAAAAGCCCCTTCCATGTCCCCTCTCATGCCCCGCTCCCAGCCACCCTCCACAGCACCCACACCATCCTTTCGGACATGGATCACCCTTACCTATTGAGCTGAGGAGAAGCTTGTCTCGACAACACTGCCCAGATAGCTGAGATTAATCAAAAACAAAGCAGTTATCAACACCCGCAAGGAGCCGAGCTCCGCAACACATCAGCACGTCAACAACTCCAAAGGAAAAGGAGGGAAAGAAACCAAACTGAAACACAAACGAAACGAGGCTGGAGAAGAAAGGGGGAAAGAAACAGAAGAAAAAGGAAAAGAAGAAAAGAAAACAATAATCAACAAAGCGAATGGATACACTGCGTAAAAGCACGGACAACGGTGCTGCTCTAACACGGATCTCTCCTGGAGCTGGGTCTCCTCGGGGGGCCCTGGCTAGGAGACATGGACCTACGTCTACGTGCTTAATTGTATCGCTCCGTAGCTGTGTTTTCCAGAGGCAGACAGAAGTCATTTCAGGCTCATTCAGCTCCTCTCCCTCCCCATCCTCTCCCCTGAGCCCTCCTTCCTTCCCCCTGTGCACCCCAGCCCTGCCGGAGGGGTTTGCTAAGGCCATAACGCTTCCAGGTACCAGAGGGCGGGAGTGAAATGCGGAGGGCGCTGCGGGGTGAAACGCTGCCTCCCCCCTCCCCAAAACACACGCCTCCTCTCCATACACCTCCGACCACGCCGGCTCCGCGGGGCTGGGTGCCCCGGCCCCCCC